TGAGCGAGTTATTTCTGGGATTATTGGGCTATACCTCGAATACCTGGAGGTGTCATCTCTGACTCAAAGGGTGACATGTTATGACCCTCCATCCTTCACAGTCGCGAGCTGCCTTTGCACATTCCTCTATACCCAGGCCAGTCCGTGTTTTAATGTTGTCCATCCATGTTACTCTTTACTGGGGTATAAGATTCTCTTAAACCTTATGCAATCACTCCATGCGGCAAAAAGTGGAATATGAAACCAATGACTCAATTCTGGAGTATTGTATAATGACACATAGCATCAGCAATAAGTTAGGTATGCAGTGGGAATTACTGTTTGTTTTATCTGACCAGCTTTGGATCTATATTGAACAGCAGATGTTCATGTTTTTAAAAAGTGGAATAGAAATCAAATGATCAATTGAAGACCTGAGAACAGGACTGCCTAAGTCTAAAAGGGCAAAAACTGAGTTCTTGGTATCTTTAAACAGAGAAGACTTTCCTGTGTCCTTGGGAAAGGCTCTTTACACGATTTTCCCAATCAGCTCGGTCCTTTTGGAGATGGATGTTAAACTCGGAAGTCCTGCCTCTTAAATAAATTGGTGTTAATAGTGGCGTTAAACTGTTACCATTTCTCTTCCAATTTGTTTTATTGTCTGTGCTATATAATCTGTATTGAAAATGGTGAATTCCATCCTCAATTTAATTTATCCTACCATCTTCTTGAAATTGAATTTTTCCCCAGGCTTTTTTCAATGATGAATACACCTCTAGATATCCTGCTGATGCTCAGTACATTGATGAGCTGAGGTCTTGCATTCTTGATCAGGTAATGACTAGAGATCATGCTCTCTAAAACAAAATTTTACCCGAAATGTGAGAAATCTGTACGATATGTGGCTTTATTAACTCCATTTCGCACCCCTTTACTCTTACTTTTAGTTCTTCACAATCTTAATTTTAAATTGTGTTCACAGCAGGTGTACTGATGATCACAGAAAATTATATTATTTTTTCAGCTTTGAGAGGGAGAAACAGCTGTTCAATATCTTTTTTTTGAATTCCTAGAATTTTTGCCATTATCAGACTTCTCTGGAACCAGGGATGATGTTGAAATTATGTCTATTGTAATGAGTATTTTTAGGCATTTTTCCCTTTGTCTTGATGCATTGAAGTACTGGCCTATGTAATGACATGGTAAGGACATGTAAGGCCCTTCACAACTGCACACAGAAGGGGTGAGTTTGATATCTGAGTAGAGAAGTTATTTTATCCAGTCTTTCTGTCTCTTTACTGGGATGTTGTATCCCATTTAGCCATTATTGGCCCCGGCAGGCAGGTTTGACATTGTGTCAGTGGGGATGTAAACTTACAATTATTGGTCAATTTATCTCTACAGAAGTTCGGTCCTACTTGATAAAAAAGTGTTCATTATGTCATGTGTACCTCATTCACAGCTTCAATTGCTTGACCGAGGACTGGGAGTCCATGGGAAACTGATCAGTTCGGAGATACAACCGCTGCATCAAAACCTGGTGGAAATTTTTGCCAAAATCAAGAGCAGCATGGGATATCAGGTAAAAAAACAAACAAAGCAAGCAACATTAATTGTGTACCCTTTGTTTATTTGAATCTGTTGGCTAAATGGAACATATAATGAAGTCGAAGAAACATGCAGTTTTCATCCATTTTGGCAATTTTTGTGGAAGTTTTGTTTTTTGGCTCAACACCTTTTATGTCCTTTTAAAAACACATTTCCTTTTTAATGTTACTGAAAAACTTTGATTAATTCCACAAAATATGTAAATTTTCAGTTTTCAAGGACTCTCAAGCTATAGAAGTTAGGAAACTTTGGCTGTCATTTTCTCGCAAATTTTACCTCAGTACCGGCGAGAGTGCAGATCCCTGTGATGTAAGCCTGTTGTGATTTCGGTAAGTTGCAAAGCCCAGCAACCAAGGCATAGTGCTACCTTTTGTTTGAGCAGCGCTGCCCCAATCCATTGCACCAAGTGTGGATCTACCCTCAAGTTGACTAGAGTCCTCATGAGGGTGTCGTGTTGAACTCTGTTGTAGGCATCTTTCAGGTCAAGTGCTGCTGCCAGAGTTTTTTCCTCCCTTTCGAAGCCATCATAGAGTGGCAAGAGTGGTAGCATTCACCCATGTGATCTTTTCTCTTCTATAGCTGCCCAGTTCCGGCGTTAGGACGTTCTTTTCCTTTAGCTCTATTGCCAATCTGTGTGCCACGATTTTCTCCAGCAGCTTCCTGACGGTATTTTGCATGGTCACTATGCGATATGAGGCGATCCTGCTTGGATCCTAGTCAGGTTTAGGAACTGGGAACAGGTGACTGTCCAGCCAGTCTTCAGGTATCTTCCCTGTCCGTAGGCTTTCGTTTAGCCTCTCCGCTAGTGCCATTGTCTGTCCTTCCTCCATGTTCTTCATGTGGCTATAACGTACTCCGTCAGGACCAAGAGAAGTGTTGGATGCTTCCTGGATATATTTATGTAACGATCCGTGTGTAACAAATTGTAGACAGGGTTCATCCTTGTAGTCCTGTTGGATCCTGTTGAGCAGCTGTTTTCTCTTGTCTTCATCTTTCATGTCAGTTTGTCTTTGGTATCTCTTAAACAGAGCATGGCCCTTTTCTTCGTCAGTGCGCATCCAAATATCATCCTCTCTTTGGAAATCAGGGACAGCTTGTTTACTCTTCCTATTAGTCATTCACCTGTAAAAGTTCCAGAACTGGTACAGGGCCCTGTCGCTGTTCATGCCGCGGCAGAAGTTGTCATATGCTAGGTCCTCGGCTTCTTTTTCTGCCTCATCGAATCTGAGATCTGCTAGCTTTTTCTCAGCTTTCAACTGCACGTTTGATCTGTCCCTTTCGTGTCTTCTCAGCGCCAGGCGTTTGATCTTCCACAATGCCTCAGTCTCTTCATTCCACCAGGGTGGTTGCTGTGCCACTACTCTATGCTGTACTCTGGGTGGCTTGGAGCTCTTTCGCAGTACACTGATGGGGTCGTTGCCTTCCGAGCGGTAGAAGAACACTCCTTTCTGTCTTTGATGGTCGCTGTTTCTTCTACGCTTTACAAACACTGTGCATGGGATATGATCGCTGCCATAGTTGTGTAATACTCTCCATGTACAGTCTGTTGTTAGGCCTACCAAGACGGGTGCAAGGTCTATAGCACGGTCAGAGTGCCCATCTGTTATGGCTAGTCTGGTCATGCTGCCATTGTTGTTGCAGGTAAGGTCACATCTATCCTGGGCATTTTCCAGTCTCGTCCATTGGACTGTGTTTCCCTCCCCATATAATGGAGGTTTATATGAGTGAAAAGAGATAGATTTTTCTTTCAGTCCTTCGCTTGTAGCAGTTTTTTATGATTTATTCTCTTTAGGGAAGAAATGTGTAAATTGTGTGAAGAAGTTAGTGCATTTTGGATGTCTATTTCTTTTTTTGAACAAGTTTTTTTTAAGGACTGAACTGGCACATACTTCTTTGAATATGTTCTTGAAAAGGATAGGACAGGCTGATATTTTTCTTCTTTTTCTGCTATTTTTCTCTCTGCATTTGAGGAGGTCTGTCATTCAATTTTCAATTTACTTTTGTCAGCTCCATACTGACGGACATACAAAGCAGCACTTTTCTTGCACATCTTCCATATACACCAACAGGCTATCTGTTTTGTCTATCTGGCCTTGGTAGTCTAGTGGTTAGGCTACCGGACTTGTAATCATGAGGTTGTGGGTCCGATATTCTAGTGGTTATGCTACCAGACTTGTAATCATGAGGTTGTGGGTTCAGGGGATTGAGCCTCAGTTCCAAGGTTGTGTACTCTGCAAAGGCACTTTACATGAATTTTCCTCACTTCTCCCAGATGGGAATAGGTACCTGACCATAGACTGCGATAGATCTTGTCAGTATGTTAATGTTCTAGCGCCTATGAAATTACAGCTTGCACTGTATGCTTCCCATGGAGTTGAGATTGTTTCATAATGCGATCAAGTCTGCTGGGGTAATAATATAGATTGAAGAGCACATACAGCTTGCTGTTGCGCTGGAATTTGCACTATGCAGATCGTTGGTTGCCTGATAAAACAGTGAATTCTTTAAATTTTCGAAAATCTTCTTTTGCATATTTTAATAGTGCTCAGCGAGATACATGTCACTGTAAAACTATTTTTCACCGTGCTCCAAAGTTCACCTGATGAAACCCTGATCTCACTCCTGTGTGGAATTCACGATCTCATCAGTCAGTTTATGATTTATGACTCGCGGGGCTGACCATTGGCGCCATGAACGCCTCCTTAGACCATTGAAATTTGGGCGACTGCGTTTAGCAAACACAATGGTTGGTCAGTATTCACAGTTTTCTGGCCAAAGATTATAATTAATTATGTCAACTGCATGCGTTTTGCAGGAAAACCTGTGTCACATGATGAAAATGTAAAATGGATGTTTCCTAGATGCAGGGCTGGTATTGTTTCACAGCGACTGTCAAATTCAAATGTGTAATGTGTGTGCCCTTCTAGTAGTAGGTTATAGTTATACAATTTTGATCTTGCTCATTTGCAAAAACAAATAAATAAATAAATAAATAAATGAATGACATAGTCAAGTAAACATTACACGTATATTTCTGTGTTGTATGACAATCCAAACTTGTTTGACATTGAAAGATTACTGATTTGACATCACTGTTCTCTAACGAGAAAAGTGATTTTGCGAAGCTGAGCAACGTGAACCCCTTTGCACATCAAAGAAAGCTGCAGAAAAATCCAGCATGGAAATAGAACCAGACCTCAATGAAAAATAAGTGTTATTCAAAGTACACAATGCGATGGAACAGATCAAAGGTGCTTTTTTAACCTCCAGGAGAGAGAGAGAGCGCACGTGCGTGCCTGCAATAAGCAATACAAATCAAGAGACAGGACTATTAAAACAATTAAAGAACTGAAACCCAGATGTAATAGCTCAACCAAATCAAACTACTATTCACTTTTAAAAGACAAAGCCAGAACAACAGTCTTTGTCTTTGTTTGGACCTTGACATGGGGGGACAGAAAGACCTATGTGAACTGTCTCCTCAATGCGAAAGATTACATTTTAAGCAAATGCGATACACCAAGCCGAAAAACGCGAACTTGGCTTTTTAAAAATCTGAAATAGAGTGACCAGAAGATCAAAGTTTGCAGGATGTTGATAATTATGGCCAGGCTCATTCATTGTTAATTGTTCTAGAAGTTTCATCATCACATAGCTCACCCTGTACGGACGAACACCTTCCACTATTCCCTACCCTGAGCTAACTTCTTCATATTTTTCAAATATCTTTCCACTTTTCTGTTGGTTCCACATGACCTTCCCTTGATCGTTTAACCTGTGGACTCCTAGTTAAAACTATCTTTGTTATGTAGCTGCCTGATTTCCAGATGGTTTGTTCAGTCCAATCCATTTCCACTGCTTTCTTCTGTCTGAAAATCGTTTTGCTTAGTACATCCTCGTTGGTGACTGTCTGTCCATCTGATCCTGAGGAACTTCCTCAGGCATTTGTTGATGACAACCTGGATCCTCCAGCACTTTGTAATGAGTGCTTTGAAAGAGCCCAACCAGGCTACACCACCAAACAATGCACAAGGGGCGTGCAAGCCAAGGAGTTTCTGTTCACATCTGTTGACATGCTTCCGAAGGTTCCCTCCCAATATTGCCTGAAAAGCTCTGGAAAACTGTATCTCTATCCCTGATTCTGTAATCTGTCAGAGCAGCATTGGTTTTACTAAACAGCCTGCACAGGTCAGGGGCAATCTGCATTGTATGTCAGACTACACAAATATGTGCTAGATGAAAAGAACATGTCGATCTATGAGCCAAAAAGAGATCAATGTGAATTGTGCGTGAGTTTTGAGTCTTGACAACGTCAGCCAGAATAAGTGGGAATCTCACATGTCAGAAAAGAAAATGCCATAGTAACGGCACTCCATGGATAAAACCTTTGCTCTTAGGAGAGAAGGCCTTGTGATGATTTGCATGAATCTTCAGGGTGTACTTTTGGCACTGTCTATCAATTCCCCGTGCCCTTGTTTCAAAAGCATGCTCATAATCTTCAATGCGACCTCGCATGATGCCATCTATTACTTATGACACAAGGCACAAGGTGGTTTGATTGCAAATGAATACACAAGTTGTTTGATGGACTTTTTTTCAACGTGCACAAATGCATGGAAGGTTATAATAATATATCATTAAACAGCTACGGATATGTATGTGTGTGTGTGTGTGTGTGTGTGTGTGTGTGTGTGTGTGTGTGTGTGTGTGTGTGTGTGTGTGTGTGTGTGTGTGTGTGTGTGTGTATTAGTACAAAATTGCATCTGTTTCTAATGCCGTGAGTGCCTTTTCCACTAAAGCATACACCGAAATTGAATACAATGTCTTATTAGAGGCCACACTCATATCCAAGTTGATAATATTCATGGCATCATCGAGCAGTGGCTTTACATAAAACACACAAATATACAACGCATTAGATTATGTTGCCATTTTCAGAATTGCAACGTTTATAATTATAACAACGAAGGCCCTATAAAGTGAAATTTGTGTATCACATTTTCCTCCATGATTTTGCCAAAATTGCAGTCCTCAAAACTGTCAGGTCGGGTATGCAAAAAGAAGACGAATTGCAATAGGAAGCCTCTGATATACATAAGGAGAAATTCTTTGCAAACTGAACTCTAACGAAGAGTGGGAGAGTCTTCTAAAGTCAAAAGACAAAGAAAACTTAACAAACAGTTCCCCACCACTGTATCATTCTCCTTTAAAATTCGCAAAGAGTAATTTCAGGATCTGAGAGACAAAAAGAGTAAGATAATGAAAGATGATCATTCAGTCATTCACAGGGTATAGAAGTTTGATACAAATCAAGTTCTCAACCCATCCACCCCCCCCCCCCCCAGCCCAATAAAAAAGGACGTACATTTACACACAATTGTAGAAAGAAGGATAGAAACAGAGAGAGAGAGAGAGCACGCAAATGAAGGAGTATGATTTCATAAATTACCTAAAAATTCCCATTCATGTAAGAATGATAGATGTTTATAGTGTTAATGAATAGCTTTCTGTTTCACTCAGTCTGTAATTTCATACTCAGATTTAAATTGGCCTTTTAAAATCTTTTGTATAACAGTATTTCGTGCTTTCATATATTTTTAAACTAACCAGGGCCTCTAATAAGAGAAAACACACTGCCTATAACCGTGAATACAACACCGCGTTTCATAAGGCCTACTGATGAAATCTTGAATTCCACACCTGTCTGGAATTCACGACCACATCAGGCGAAATTCGAATATGAAAATCGTGAATTCCACCCTTTAAAAAAAACTAACCTATCTACGATAAAATATATACTACAGTATTATTTCTAAAAGGTAATTGACTAGATTTATCCATTTAGTTTATATAGTGAACGCCAAATGACGGAGAAAATCAGTTTTTTCCCTCTTTTGTAAAATTTGCTTCGTGTGGAATTCACGATTTCATCAGGCGACCGACGAAATGTTATTTATTATTATCTGTGTCCTCAGAGTCCTACTGCCAAACAGCGTGGCAGCTACAACTCTATCGGCACCAACTCCCAGAGACCCAGCACTCCAAGCTCTACTTCTCTCAACTCGAGTAGCAGGTAAGTGAAGGAGGAAAAGATTAGATATATGTAAGAATAAATAAATGAATATTTGTCTGTATCTTTGTATGTAGCAGGTAAGTGAAGGAGGAAAAGATTAGATGTAAGATCACAATAAATACATTAATTTTAATTATTTTTTTTTGTAGCAGGTAAGTGAAGAAGGAAAAGATTAGATAAATGGAAGAATAAATACATTAATTTTTTGTTTTTGTTTTTGTAGCAGGTAAGTGAAGGAGGAAAAGATGTGTATATGTAAGAATAAATACATTAATTTTTATTTGTTTTTTTGTAGCAGGTAAGTGAAGGAGGAAAAGATGTGTATATGTAAGAATAAATACATTAATTTTTATTTGTTTTTTTGTAGCAGGTAAGTGAAGGAGGAAAAGATTAGATATATGGAAGAATAAATACATTAATTTTTGTTCGTTTCTTAGTAGCAGGTAAGTGAAGGAGGAAAAGATTACATAAATGTAAGAATAAATAAATGAATATTTGTTTGTTTCTTTGTATGTAGCAGGTAAGTGAAGGAGGTAAAAATGTTAAAATGTAAGAATTTTGGGTTTTTAAAAATAGCAGCAGGGAAGTGAAGGAGGAAAAGATTACATATGTAAGAATAAATACACAAACTTTTAGATTTTTTTTTTGTGGCAGGTAAGTGAAGGAGAAAAAGAAGGGCGGACAAGGCGTGTACATTTTTTTTTTTCTCTTTTGGGAATCCATTTCTGATCAAAGGAAAATGACACACACAGGTGCATCTGGATGGTTATCTGAAAATATTATTCTCTGGGTCTGAGAGACACATACAGTTGAATACAGGTGCATCTGGATGGTTATCTGAAAATATTGTTCTCTGGGTCTGAGAGACACATACAGTTAAATACAGGTGCATCTGGATGGTTATCTGAAAATATTATTCTCTGGGTCTGAGAGACACATACAGTTGAATACAGGTGCATCTGGATGGTTATCTGAAAATATTATTCTCTGGGTCTGAGAGACACATACAGTTGAATACAGGTGCATCTGGATGGTTATCTGAAAATATTGTTCTCTGGGTCTGAGAGACACATACAGTTGAACCCGCTCCAACAACCACCTGTCCAAGACAATCATCAGGACTAACAACCACTTTTGATCCCCCCCCCCACCCCCCTTTTTGCATTTTTTTCTTTATTACAAAGACATTACCCAAGAGGACCAACAACCACTTTTGATTCCCCCCCCCCCCTCACCGCACCCCCCTTTTTGCATTTTTTTCTTTATTATAAAGTCTGTCTAAAATGACCACTCTTCTTCTCAACAATGAGTGGTCTTCTTGAACTGGTTAATTGTACACACATAGTAGGCAGATTAGTGTTGATGCGGAGGTCCGTAGAGATAAAACATATCTTGGTTTCTTTATATACCATGGAGATAAAATATATGTGAGGCAACGTGGTGAAATCAGGTTCTCGTCAAAATAATGAAATTGAAGAGACTGGCATTTTTCTGCCAGTTTGGCCATTTTATCAAATTTTCTTACTTTTTGGCTCAACACCTGTCCATTTAAGAGCACATTTCTCTGTGGATTTTACTGAAAAACGACTGAAAATACAAAAAAATGTAGATTTTCAGTTACCACTGATTGTCAAGCTATGGAAATTACTTTGGCGGCCATTTTCTCACTAATTCTACCTCTGAAGTCAGGCAAGCCCCGTCTCCTTCAACCGCAAATATCTCGACTTGTATTCAAGATAAATGGAGTCTTTGTTTCATCTAAAGCAAGTCAAATGAACAATCTTTAAGATTATATCAATAACTCGATATGTCTCAAGACGCAGTGGAATCAGGCACTCGTCAAATATTGTGCATGTGGAGTTATTGGTATCATCTGAAAGCTGATTTATATACCTTGCTTCCAATGAAATAAATATCCATCTATCTTGCATAGAACTCAAGATATTTGCGATTGAAGGAAGTGCGGTTGCTTGGTTTCATTGGTAAAATTAGCAAGAAAATGGCCGCCAAAATTTGGTAACTTTAATAGCTAAAGAGTCCTTGGAAACAGAAAAATGACATATTTTGTGCCTTTAATCAATGTTTTTCTGTAAGATTCACATGGAAATGTGTTTTTTATATGGACATAAAAGAGGTTGAGCCGAAAAATAAATATTAAAAAAAATTTTCAGGCTTTGTAAAAATGCCAGTTTCTTCGATTTCTTTTGACGAGTGCCTAATTTCACCATGCTGCCTTACATATGGCCAAAAATTGACAAGCGCCTGATTCCACCATGTCGTAACACATATCCTGGTTTCTGTTATATGCCGTGGACATAAGAACACTCTCTCTGTGAGTAAAAGAACCTGTGAGATTCAGCAAAAGAATAAAGAAGGAGGAAGAAACAATATATTAACAACTCATTTTTCCCCTTTCAGCAATCGTTCATCTGTCGTCTCTGGAAACGATATTTCTGCCATGGATGAGGACCAGTTGTATGTGGAAACTCCTGATGAGGTAAAGTCTTATTATTTATTTCTCTTCCATTTGATAACCCTCTTGGACATACTTTTCATTTCACTCTCCCGACTTCTTGCTCTCTTGAAGTCATTTCCAGCAGATACCAGAGTACATTTGTTTGATCTGCATTTTGCTCTGTTAACTTTCTCTCAGGTGATGTCTCGACAGTGTGTAACACACTTGGAGCACTGTACTTATAGAGTATTCGTGAACGTCCAGGATGAGAAACTATTAGCTCTTTTCATTCTCCTGACTTTCAACCGGTGTCTGATGTAGCGGTTAGGCGCTTCGCTGTTGCATATAGTTCAATTCCTGAGTGGGGAGGTTCTTAAACTAGTGGCTCGGTCTTTCTGCTAGGTCGCTTTATCCCATTTAGCCTGTGCTGGCCTTGACAAACATGGTTGAAGTCCACCTCTTAAATTATCTATGATGGCTGAAAGTACACCAACATTTCTTTTTCCAGGCTTTCAAGGGTAACTCAGATGATACGACAAAGTATGCAGTTTTTCTGAGCATGTTTGTTACTTGGATTTGAAAAGTCTGTCTCTTGAACATTCATGTAGTACTAAAGGAATTCTTGTAGTGTTCTCAGGTATTCTGACACCTTGGCCTGTACCAGGTTTTGAGTTAATGACAATCACTTTATAGAGATACAGGGGATGAAACTATACTAGGCTACTGCCGACCCGTGATGTAAATGATTGGAAAGAAGACTGGCTGAGTACATGACTACGATTCAGGGCAGATTGGCTTGGTAATCCATGGCTCGTCTACCCCAGCCCTGGAACAACATCGAACAATGAAACCAATGACAGTCGCTTGAAATATGTTTGTTAATTTGATTTTGTTTTTAAAAAGGTAAAAATGGTAGCTCTTGAAGCAATGTAACAATACAGGCCAGCTGAATAAAATTCGGGGTGGAATAAGGAAACAAAATGTGCCTCCTTGTGGTTCTGATAAGCAACCACAGCTACAAGATCTTTGACAGTATTTTAGCATCTTTTAAATGTGGAAAAAGAAAATGAAAGAGCGTGGGGGGTATCTGAAGACTACACAATAATCTTCACTGGGGCTTGGTAATTTGTAGACTTCAAGAGGCAATAATATTTCACTGCAATCTTAAATAAGGCAAAAATAGAATGCAATGATCTCAGAACAGCTGTGGCATCTAATTATCACAAACCTTTTGTGATAATTTTTCTGGTGCTGACAGAAGTACCCTAATTTTTAATGGGCTTCTTTTTCCATGGCATTTAATTCTCGCTAACAAATTTTTACTCACATGTTGTTTAATTCTGGTTTAAAATGATTTTCTCATCTGGTTTTCCGAAAGTCGGATTCTTATGAAAAAAGACTTTTTTTTAAAGTATGCATCTGATCATTGCAAGAGATGTATTTTTAAAAAAAATGAATAATGTTCTCTCTTCTGTTCGTTCTTCTCTTCACCCTCCCCCATATATCCCCCATCCACCCTTGGTTTAGGAGAACCACCCTCCATCTTTCCCTCCCCCTCCCTACCCTGACAAACGTCGCTGCAGTAGCTTGAGGGCGCTGACTCTCAGCAACTCCTCCTTCAAACTAGGGCTATCTGCCCGCCCCCTCTCCGCCATTGTCACCCCAACCTTTGCCACACAGGTTTGTTGCTGGCTCTTCAACAGAGGGCGGGGCTTCCCATGCTCATGAATGAATGGTTGGGTGTGGTGAGGTTGTCTGACCTGTCAATCAACCCATGCCTGCCAGCTTTTTTTGTTTTATATCTTTAACCTTTATTTCTTCTTTGGACTGGATATGTTTTTGTTTCTTTGTTGTTGTTTTTTAAAAAATTCTTTGTTGTCTTGGTCAAGTTTTATCTTATGCAAGTGTCTCCAGTGTTTCAATCGATTTTCTTTTCATAGCTTTCCCCAATTCTTTGGTTTTGAGATTGTTTCTTTTAGTTTGTCACTACCTGGTATTGAGTACAATACTGATTTCAGCTGTTTTAGTCCCTCTTTGTTATTGCTTCACAAAAACTTCAAAAAAAAACAAAAAACCCACCCCCCCTAAAAAGAAAGAAAACAAATGAAAAAAACAAATACCGACACCCCCCCCACAAAAAAATAAAAAAAAATAATCAAAAACAAAAACGAAACTAAGGCAAAAACTATTCAGCAAGATGGCTGCAAGTTGTGATTATTTTTGTTTGTGTTAATTGAATGAGTATACACCCTGGCATTATTTCCGCCTCATTTGGTGTCAGTTTTCTTGTATTTGCATGGAGTGACATTTCTGTTACTGGACATTTCTATACCCCCAGCAGATATTATAGTTTGGTTCAATGAACATGATGTAGAGGCTCAGTATGCTTGGTATTATTTTCTGTTTTTATAAGCATGGCAAATTTATCTTCATCTTCAAAACGCCTTGATTGGGTGCATTTTTAAGCACTACCTGTTACTCAGAATATGTTTTTCACTTCTTTCACTTGGAAAATTCCTTTGTGACTTCAAGTGTGTTGACTTGGTTGGTCTTCTGATGAAGAATGTAATTAGTATGTAAGAGTTTCACAGTATTTGCAACACATTGAGGTCATATAAGTGCCCAAGATTAGAGGTGTTACAAGAGTCAAGAGAGTAATAAACACAAAAAAGACGCAGGAGAGATAAGGTCGATAGATATTTGTTAGGAAAGGAGTCTATAAATGTGTATGTGCCTAAAGAAAGGTACCAAAAGTCGGATTTTAACCATTTTGAATTAAGGGTTGTACCTTAAAGGACATTCAATGCTGAACTCAGTGGGTTTTTTTATTTTTGAGATATCTCAAGTGGTTTTTTTTAGACATTGCACATTTTGCGAGGTAGGGTATAAAGATCTTCAAGTTTGGGACACATACAAACTTGAAAAAAAACACCCGATAATTCAATTGTTTCTAATCATTGTCTAATGTATTTATTCTTGGAAAATTCATTTCCTGTTCAGTATTCAGTCGACATTAAGATCATGATTAAAATTCAATGGCAATAGATTTTAATACCTTTTAAAAGCAGTTTTCATTATCTTTTGAAAGCATACCCTACCCTCAAAATAATTCAAAATTATATATTTAGAAGTCAAATCAATGAAAACTCTTTCAACACATTGTTAAAAAATGGTGAAACTATTCTCTTTTTAAAAAAATTGGAAACACATTTTGGTAAAAAAAAGAGTAATTTTTGTCATTATCTGCCTGTAGCTGTTCAGTTTCTTTGAAATACAAGGAGAGTTTTCTCTATAAGCAAACACATATACACACTTATGAAACCAAACTGCTCCTATTGGTAGGGCAATGCCCACTTTTGGTGTAGGTCAAGATTTCTGGAAACCCCCAAAATCTGGGTTAGCCCGTTTGTCCTTAAAAGCGACTAATTATTAATTGCAATAAATTGGACTGATTCAGTTTTGAGGTAATGATAATCAAGTGTATGCTGACATAGAATCTAGAATCCTGGAATGCATTGTTGTGAAGCCTGTGCCTCTGTCTGCATTCAGGTCTCTTAGAGCAAAACATATTTAGTTTTTATTACATATTGTTTATAACATCTATTTTTGTTTTCAGCAATTTTACTGGAGTGGGCATTCTTATTTTCAGAAGTTTCAAATGTTACTTGCATGAACAATAACCAAAAAAAAAAAAAGAAAGAAAACTGGTCTGAAAAGTTTCATGACGTCGGAGTGTATGCCAAAATCTGATTTGATCAAATTATGAAATATTTTGTTGTAAGGTAGCAAGAATCATGCCTGTCTTCAGGGATCTTTGTATTAAACAAACAAAACAAACCCAACAAAACAACCTGTCTACAATTGTTGGAATTTTAAAGTGTTGTTTGTAGCAAAAATGTGCCAAAGACCCCAACAACCTGTCGACAATTGTTGAAATCCTTAAGTTATGTTTGTTACAGACAACCTTGACCTTCAGAAGGGGTCTACTAATTATGTGCATCCATTCTTAGTGTGGGCAAGATAGGCCTTGCTTTATCAGTCTGCTCATTGAGCTGTTTTTATAAAATACTTTGGGTGACAGACATACGGTATAAAAACAAAAACTTGCGGTAAACTTTTTGTTAGGAAATGAGTAACAACCAAGGAAAGGTGAGCATTTTGTCTCTTGGGCAGAGGATTTACATTTTTTGCATTCCTCAGCCTTGAAGGTGACGCGATTCATTTAATGCATGCTGTTCTGTTTTGTTTTTTCCCTTTTGGTGGAATGGTGAATTTCTCCTACCTACTGTCCCTGAATGTGTGTACAGTAAAGCTTTCTTTTGTTTCACAAATTGGTTTCTGTCTCATGATGATGTGAATCATTCACACCGAAATGATATAGGAAATATATCAATTTACTTGTGCCATTCTATCTTTTATACAGTTTTATTTTTATTTTTTTATTTTTTTTTAGAGAGAGAGAGAGAGAGAAAAAAAAAGAGAGAGAGAGAGAGGGGGAGAGGGAAGGAGAGAGAGAGAGAGAGAGAGAGAGAGAGAGAGAGAGAGAGAGAGAGAGAGAAAGCATGCAGGGAAGGGGGGTGGAGGGATGAGGGAGCATTTATGAAAAGTAATAATCATGTCATATCCATCTCATTTATCATTATTTGAAAGTCTAGTAGATTTATTTGACTGCTGTGCCTCCTTTCAATTCACAGTTCCTCTGCTTTTAAATTGGGCTGTCCAAATTTTTTAAAGAGGGATGTAAAAAATGTTTTTAGTTGGAGATATTTTGTCCGTTATATCAACGTTTCTTAGAATTGATTTTAGTATCTTTGAGCCAGCAAAATGGTGTGCTCTATTTCGATCATCTGTTACATCTTTACATTTTCATTCTTTTTTACAAAGTTATTTATTTCCTCAATTCGTTCTAACCTTATCCCTGTGGTTTTTTTAATCTCCAGAGTCCACCTCTGACTGTTGAATTGCCCTTACCGAGAGATGGTGAGTACCACAAAGGGAGGGGGGAGGGGGTTTGGGAGGGGTGGGGGATGTAGTATTATGATATGTCTCTCAATGCCTATGTGTTATACTCTGGACTCTGCTTGTTCCAGGCAGGAAATTTGGGGCTTTATTTTTCAGAGACAGTCGAGAGAATGATGTTCCTAAATAACTTATTACATGAGTTATAATGGTAAATCATGATTTATCTTACAAGTGAAATTGCCAAATTGTAATCATGAGTTCCAACGAGTGATTACAACTGGCAATTTCACAAGTAGAATAAATCATGGTTTACCACCATAACGAGTGTAATAAATTTTTCATACCATAATGATATCAGCTGGCGCAATAGATCTGGACCAACTAACTTTAAATGACTAGCCAATTGGACAAGAGGATCCATTCAAGAGTCTCACATGAAAACAAGAGTGAAGATTGGAGAAAGTCTGGATTGTTTTCTTTTATATTTAGCTGTGTTAATTTACATTCTGTGCTATCTGTATGCCTCTTTCCGCTAAAAAAAACCCAACCCCATAAAACAATAATAAGTGAAAACGTACAATTCAAAATGTAAGAATTTTACAGGAAGATATATATATATATATATATATATAAATATATATACATATACAGAATTTAACATAAGTGAAGGACCACCTTGACAGGCTGCCCTGATTGTTAACAAATCAGAAGAAAAAAAAAGACAGCAAGGAATGTTTCAAAATTTTTTGCTCTGAAAGTGTTAATGGGTTACAAATGCGTACTGCAAAGCGTCCTAAAGGGATAAACCACCACATACTGCCCGGAAATCCTTGGGGAATTTTAGCCTCATATTCTGTTTTTTATCGACTTGTGTGCGATGCCACGGACATTCCTCAGTTAAAATTTCTGGTGCACGTCATAAACGGACGTACGGTCTCGAACTGTGCTCACTTTGGTGGCAATATTAGCCCCCGTTTGCTCAAAATCCAGTATCCCAATAACATGCCACTAAGACGAAAGCTGAGAGACTTTGATCGGGCCTGAGCTATGCATGGCTGCCAGATAGAGTTGGAGCCCGTGAAGTTGCCAGAAGGCTTTGAGTGTCACACTCTGTCATTGTCCACTTGAGGCAGCGCCATCAAGCCACTGGATAAGTCCAAGAGCGCCAACATGCAGGTCGACCCAAGAAGACCACTCAGAGCGTTTGCAAGTTGTCCTTAACCTATGTTGAAATCTGTATATATATATTGAACAACGTTAACACTTTTTAAAAACAAATACTATACTAATTTTTGTGCAAAGTGATGCAATATTTAATTCGTCAGCAGTGTCATAATCATATCACCATTGTTACCTTCAGTGTTTATCATTATCTTCTTTAACTTTTAAATTGCTTCTAACTTCAGATGCACCAGGTGGAAAACAATTTGGAGTCCTGCCCAGGAAGCAGAGTATTCCATCAGGTTAGTGGCTAGTAAATGTTTCGCTTAGTCAAAAGTGTTTTCACATAGGGAGACTACAAAAGGAGAGGGCAAAAGTCACAACTTTCCTGTTTCATGTTCGTCTTTCTTGGGTTATTGTATGGCGTGTTCCATTTTGAGTGGATGGTTGGTGGGTGCTCTTGTGTTGTCTGCTCCTTCTTTCCTATGAAACATCTATCGTCCTCATCTCTCGTCCTCATCTCTCGTCCTCATCTCTCGTCCTCATCTCTCGTCCTCAACTCTCGTCCTCATCTCTCGTCCTCATCTCTCGTCCTCATCTCTCGTCCTCATCTATCGTCCTCATTTATCGTCCTCATCTCTCATCCTCATCTCTCGTCCTCATCTCTCGTCCTCATCTCTCGTCCTTTTTTGCATTTGTTACTCTCTTGCAACACCTCTAATCTTTGGCACTTATATGACCTTTTTTGCTTCAAGTGCCGTAAAACACTTATTAAAATGAAGCGAACGTTTTGTATACATATAATTTTTTATTTTTTTTAATGGGGGGGGGGGGGGGGGGGGGGGGAATGAGTTGCATTCACACAATGGTAATACGTGTGAAACAGCTTTGTTGGGAAAAGTGCAGAAGCAGTTCATGTTATCCCCTGAAAGAAAAGCAATTGTCCTCATTTTTTTCTTCAGCAGTGACTGCTGCTCTTTTTCCTCCCGTAGCCTCCATAGATCTAATATATGTGCAGTTCTGTTCGTTAAAAATGTGTAATTTGTGGATATGAATGTATGCTTTTTGGGCAGCGGAAAATTGCGCAGGTTTTTAATCCTATTGTCAAAAAGATCAAAGGAGTTGGAAAATTGCGCGGGTGTTTTCGGTGTCTAGTATTTCTTCGGTTGCGCAGGGTATTCGACATGGTACTTACTTGAAAGTCTCTAAGTATAAGTTTAAGAGGTAGATCTCTTCAGTTAGCCAATTATCAAGACTGTTATTTCATTTCATTGTATATATTTTTTTTCGTCCTTTCTCTGTCATGAAAACCTCCATTTTAAGTTTCTTTTTTGAGTGCGACTAAATTGCATCATGAGTACACATTTATGCAAGGCCGTTAATATATTATTTACCTATTTTCTGGTTCTTCTGAAAAAAATCTCAATGGACTATTTTCAGCTAAACAATGTACGTCCTCCAACACCCAACCTGATAGAGAGGTGTGGATGGTTGGCGGGTGCTCTGGTGTGGTTTACTTCTTCTTTCCAATCAAACATCTATCGTCTTTATCTCCCCTCCTGCTTTTTTGTGTTTGTTACTCTCTTGTTAATCTTCAGCACTTATACGACCTTATTGCCTTGCAAGTGCTGTAAAACTCTAACTAAAACTTAAAAAAAAAAAAACTAAAGATAGAGAGGTCTTAAACTGGTTTTAGTGAGCACTCAATCAACTAAACATGTTTGAGGTTTGGGATTCTGATTCGACTACAGACCACATAATCGATACCACACTTAAAAACTAAAAACCTGCGCAATTTAACGTACATAGGAAGGGCGGCTTATTAAGTAAGCCGTTGCATAACAGCGTAAAAGCCCCTGCTTTTTACGGTTCTTCAGAAGTTGAGATAGTTTGATAATGTTATCAGGCAGGTCTGCTGGGGTAATGATACGTAATTATAAAGCCCATAGAGCCTGCTGTTGAGCAGGAATTTGCGCAATGCAAGTGCTTTTTGTTATTATCTATCATACAAGTGGGATTGATGCTAGATTTGTGAGTGATGTTGGGTACGTCTGTGAGTATCAGTGTGTGTGTGCTCATGCTGCTTTCTATGTGTGTGTGTGCGTGTATGTGTGAGTGCAAGTGTGTTTGTGTATATGTGTGTATCAGCGTGTGCGTTTTGTATGTGTGTACACCTGTGTGTATGTGAGTGTACATGTGTGTGTGTGTGAGTGTACATGCGTGTGTGTGTGTGTGTGTGTGTGTGTGTGTGTGTGTGTGTGTGAGTGTACATGTGTGTGAGAGAGTATACATGTGTGTGTGTGTATGTGTGTGTGTGTGTGTGTGTGTGTGACAATGTTCATGTCAATGTGTTTGTGTATCTGGATATATTTCTACAGATTTTGAAACGACTCTGTTTTGACTCATTACAGATCCGTTCGGTGCTCCTGGCCTGAATTCAAGTATTCCTGGTCACAGCTCTCCTTCCTTGGCCACACCAGAGAAAGCCCCGCCCCTTCCTGATCGTCCAGTCAGGAGTCGAGATCGAGTAAGTTGACTGTCACCAATTGTGTCACAGCAACATGGTGAAATCAGGCACTCGTCTATTTTGGGGCATACGGAGTTATTAGTGTAATCTTAAAGCTTATTCATTAGTCGTGCTTCTGATGGAAAAAAGCAACAAACCTACCTATCTATCTTAAATAGAAGTCGAGATATTTGTAATTGTAAGAGGTGGAGGTCACCTGTTGTTGCAGGTTAAATTAATGAGAAAATGGCAACCAAACTTTGTTGACTTTCAATGTTTGAGTATCCTTGGAAACTGCGAATTTACATTTTTTTTGGTGCCATTGGTCAACATTTTTTTGTTAAATTCACACAGAAGTGCGTGTTAAAATTGACATAAATGGTGTAGAGCCAAAAAAGATAAAATCAGCAAGAATTGCTGAAGGTGCAGTAAAGTGTCGATTTTTTCAAATTCATTATTGTAATGATTGCCTGATTTCACCATGAAATTACTCATCTTAGTATCCAAATAAGTGTTTAAGATGTGCAATTTTACTTGGTAATTTCTGTAAGGAAATGTTTATTGGTGAATATTTCAGAGACTGAGAGAGACTAGTTCATCTTTCATTTTACCATAATAAATTCTTGTCTCGAAGGTTCTCATGCTAACTTACTGAATACTGAAATGTTTTATTTAGGAATTTTTCTGTAAATTTTTTAGAAAAAAAAACCCCTATGAGACCAAAAGAAATAAGCATCTTTTGATGCAATTCAAAATAAGTATCTGTTGAGACGCTTCTTCTCCAGTCTATCTATGTTTATCAACATAAGAATGCCAGACACCAATTGTTGTGTTTTGGGAACAGCACAATTATATATAATCATGAAAGTAGAAATCATACTGTTAAGAAAATATTAAGTATTATCTATGAGATAGATAACCATTTTACTCAATGATTTTGCTGTATCAATAGCTCTGTGCAAGAGGTGAAGACTTTTTGTTTGATGTATTATAGTCTACCATTAGTAAATTTTGAAGTCCACAGCAATTTTATAAAAATACCGTAAAATATGCCTTTTCTTAACATCAGCTCTTCTAAAAATACTCTCAATTATTGAGTCCAATATCTCTTGGTTACTGATTTTGTACCAGTGTCACACCCCAGCAAGTTCTGTGTGAGATCAATTACTGATATGGTCCCTTATACAAAACCGAATTTGATTAACAGCATCGTGGTAAAATCAGGTGCTTGTCAAAATTGAAATCGAACCCCCCCC